GACTCACTGCTCTCCCCGCCCCGCGCTCTGCCAGAGGCGCAGAGGGCTGGCTGGGAGGGCAGGGGCGGGCTCTGCCGGGTCCCTCCCGGGTTGGGCCCACCTGGGTCTCAGGGGCCTCTCGCCTCTCACCCCCAAGCTGTCCTCTGTCCTGGCCACCAGACGCCCAGGAGGCGGCACCAAGCGCTGGAGCCCAGGACTCCGCGCCACATCTAGAAAAGGTTCCAGAAAGGGCTGTGGCGCAGAGAGGGGCCTAAACCAAGGCCCACATGCTGCCCTAGGGCGGCGCGACCCAGGGTTTCTGATCTCCCGGGGAAACCACTAGTGAGCTTCCTGGTGCATAACATTTCAAGGGTGTGCACACCCCAGAAGCCCAAGGCAGAAGCGCTCTGGTTCACCACCCAAAGGCCCATCCCCAACACAGTCCCCTCACTGCCTCCTGGACCCAGAAATTCACTGATCCAGGAAAACGCTCTAACAGATCCAGAATCTAACACAGAGTTCCCACACACCTGCATTCTAGAGAAAGAGCCAACCCACCGTCAGTCACAGTTAGCTAACCCAGACCCAAACAACAGAACCACCTCCTGTAAACACCCATGCGCCCGGGGCTGCCCCTGTGGCTAACCCCGCATGCGCCCATCGTCCTGCAGCGTCAGCCAGACACACATCTTCCGGACAGTACAGAATCATGAGAGGGTAGAAAAGTCCCACACAGACTAGCAAGGCCGCTCCTGGTGCTCACAGCCCACCCCAGCTCTTGTCAAAGGACCTCGCAACCCGGGGGCTCTCCACAGCTCCCACCCCGGGCACAGCTCTCTGGAACACAATATCCCTTCAATGCATACGCCCGTTCTTGGCCATAAACCATCCAGTTAGAACTCCAAGTTAACACACCCACACCCAGAATCACAACGCCAGCCCCCTTTGTAAGCTGGCGGGGTGAATCCAGAACCCCTGGAAGCTACTGACCCAGAGCTGAGCTGGGACTGACCCCTTCCTCCTGGCTCCAGAGGGTTCCAGAAGTGGAGGTCGGGGCTGATAAGCGCCTCAGGGATTCCCAAACCAAAGCTGGGGTCCAGGACCAGGAGACCGTCACCCTCTCAGGCTGTTTTTAGGGCCCAGTCGTACTGGTCCTCCCAGGCCTAGACCAGCATCAGATGCAGGGGTGTCATGGGTGCCTGGGGTCGGTAGGGATGTTATGTAACCAGGGGGTTGGGGGATGGAAGGGTACATGGAGGAAAGAGTGAAGAACAGGAGGGAGGGAAGGCAAAGAAGAAAAGCAATGAGACCCCTCCCAAGAGAAGGGAAGTAGAGAAGCAGATGAAGAAAGAGAGGCTCCCCCCTTGGGGGGTAAGGGGACACTGGGGCAGAGAGGAAAGGTCTCCCAAGCTGACCTCTTCCTCTGGCCGAGTGGGGGGTCCCAAGAGAAGCCTGTCCTTTGCCACCCCCATGGCTAAGGGAGCGGAGGTGGTGCAGGGACAGGTGGCCTCGGCCCTACTCTTCCATCTGTCCTCTGACCCTCCTCCCTCCTCTCACCTGCCTCACCTTCCCGGGCTCCTTCACTCAGTCTCCCGCCACCTCCTGGCTCTGTCCGGGGCGCCCTCAGCTCCTCCTCTGCTCCCGTGTGGCAGCAGGCAGCCATGGCCCCTCTCCGGGCTGTTTCTCTCCTATGCCTGCCAAGCGGGTGGCCATCTCCGAGGCAATCCCAACACCAACATTCCATAGGTTCCTCCCGCCCACCCCCAGCGCTCTTTCCTCCATTTTCTCTCCCGCTCTCCCAGCTCTCCCAGCTCTTTACCGTACATCCCATCAGCACCCAGGCCCCTCCTTCCAATCTGCTCATCTCCCTGGGCCAGTGGCTTGCTCCTTTCCCTTCCTCTTTGCCAACTCTCCTCTTCCCCCCACAACGCTCTCCTCCAATATCCCCGGCTCCCCTTTCCTGTCTCACCCCTTTGTGCCTCTCCTCGTGCTCAGAAAGACCATGTCCTATCTGGGCCCCTTTGGGAGCAACATGGGCCTCAGGGGAGCCACAGGGGACAATCAAGAGGAGGGAGGAGGCACAGAAGACCAGAGAGCTCATGGGGAGAAACAGAGTTCAGTGTGGGGTGGGCAAGTGGAAGA